CCTCAGGGCAGCCACGCTGCCCTCAGCGCAATTTCCCCGTTGAGGCAATGCCGCTCCCCTCAGATCATTCCTGTTTCCCTCAGGGCATCCCAGCTCCCTTTGGGACATCTCCGCTACCCGCAGGGCAATCCCTATCCCCTTGGAGCATCCTTGCTTCTCTCCGGGCAATTTCCCTTCCCTTCGGAGCAATTCCCAGGGCCCTCAGGTCAATTCCTGCTGCCGTCAGGGCAATCCTGCTCCCGCAGAGGATTCTTGCTGCCTTCAGGACATCCCCGCTTCACTCAGGGACATCCCTGCTGCCCTCAGAGCAATGCCCCCGGAGCATTCCTGCTCCTCTCAGCGCAATTCACGCTCCCCTGAGGGGCAAGGATGGTGCTGGATACAAGGGAGGGCTGTTTTCCCTGTTTTTTCTATAAACTCCAGGTGAGTCCAGTGTTCCTGTTGAGGCAGCTCCCTGTAACTCTCCTGCTTCAAAGCAGCAAAATGACAAATCACACATGGGGTTTAAAAGCTTGCAAGCTGTGTTAGCACTACATCCAAGCGGCAAATTTCTCCCARAGGGAGAAACCAAACCCCCAAAACTCAAACCATCAGTTTCTGTGTTATAATGTCTTTCTCTTGTTCAACACAGAGCCTTGGAAGTGTTCTTTCTGCAGACAAGAGAGTCATGAAGTAATAAACAAGATGAAGCTTCTGATAATAAAGAAAAAAAAAAATAGAACTTTAAACCAGTGTTTTAGAGGAGGATTTATTAGGAAGGAAACCTTTGTACACAGAGGTTAACGCAGTGCAGGTGGAACTAGCACATGCCTGTCTGTATTTGACCATTTAGGATATCCCAGAGCTGCTGATACAGACCCAAACGGAAGGAGAAGAAAGTGCTTTTCTTGTCCTGAAAACACCTTCTCTGCTTTAATAGGGCTGGGGATCTGTGTTATTCAATAATATTCAGTGAATGTTATTAATTTTTGAATTGAGAATAGACCATCTTTATTTGGGGACTGGAACKAAATTATCTTTAAAGTCCTTTCCAATCCAAGCGATTTTATGATTTTGTATCCATTTTTAATTAAGTTTGTCCATTTTGTGTCAAATTTCCAGCGGAGCCTTTCTGGTTCTTTGCTACTTCATTAATTCCTTCTGTTCCCTGTTTTTACCTGTTGAAATCTTCCAGTGAGGGCTGTAAGCGGTGCTTGTGAGGGAGTGAGTGATCTTTACGTRGCACAGGTGAGGCCATAGGAGATGCAAAACGTACCAAAAAAGCAGCAAGGACCTTTCATAATTTTATTTAGGTCATTGTTGGCAAACGAATGGAATTGAGGACCAACAATTCATCTTTGCTCACATGGAATCCATGTTTCCACAGACATGAAGTGTAAGGTATTTTTGTGGGATCCAACTGAGAACTCTGATTCAGATGTGCAAACCCATCAATTTTGGTTAGCTTAAATTAAATGTTTGATAGGSTTTCCTCTGAAGCACTGAGCCTGAGGAGGCTTGATAGCAACCATCGGGTCATACTGAACAAAAAATATTTTAGGAATAAAGCTGGAAGGGCATTGCCAGTTCAGACATGAGCAGGCCATGTCTGCACCCCAGCCTCACACCTGAACCTGAGCTCATTAATCCAGAACTCATTTATTCTGAACAGTTTGGCCTGTAAACAGGCAAAGACTTAAGCTAAGCTCTGTGGAGCTGAAGCACWCCTGAGGGGAGAGGTTTAAACTTTAACACAGACCAATTCCCTGTTCAGTGCAGCTCCAGGGTTAGGACAGGAAATGTGTGGGTGAACTTGGGGTATTGGAGAGACAAACCCCAGGGAAATTTCAAATGGATGCAAATCTTTAAAAAGAGGAATTCTGTCTAGTTAGCACTCGCTGGAGATTTTTATCAGGTATTTCTGAATGGACAGCGTGTCCATACATAATTAAGATCTGGTGAAAGTTTATTGTATAAGCGTGCTGGAATTTTGGTTTGGTTTTGTAACAAAGGAATTCCACTGAGTCATGGCTACTAAATGGACTCAGAGAGGACACAGGTCTCTCCTTCAGAGCTAACACAAATGTTAGGAACTGAAATTAATTTGGCTTTTTTAGTCTGGGCGAAAGCAGCCACATCTTAAATAAGGCTTGGCTWGACGACACGAAGGCTTTGCTGTTTTACTGGTTCCTACCTGCTCCTGTTCCTGYCCTGGCAACAAGGCACAGCAACCCTTAGCTCTGCACTGTGAACACCAAATCACAATGCTGATCCAGATGAAAAACAAACCAGGTGAAAGCCTCTATAAATGTGTTTTATGTGAAATATATAAACACATTTAAATAGGCGCATATATAAAACCAGATAGAGTTCTCCAATCTGGTTTACAATTCAGAGGGGGAATGGATGGATGAGATTCTTCCCTAGAAATGYTAAGGATGCAGTTAGAAGAGAAAAGTGGCTAAATATGAAACTGATCCTGATRAAGGAGGATCCCAGACCACAGCTGAATATTCACTTTGCAAAGTGTAAATTAATTGCTCCACTGGATTGTTGTGCTTTAATTAACRTGCAGTTAATGTGTTGTGTAAATCTGAAGAGAAGGCTCAGATGTAAATGTTTTGCATGGAAAACATCTCAATATTTGGGACAGAAATAGTTTCTCGGGTAACACTCACATGCTGACTTTGGTTAACTTAATGTTGATGAAAATCTCAGTCAGCTGTGCCTTCTCTGGCACTTCTCACAAACCCTTCACTCTGCTGGGCTTCACTATTGGTTTTGAAACACCAAAGTTCTGCAGCACTCAAGGAGTTTTTATTTACTAGCTGAATTSTGCTAGAATTCTGCTGAATTCTACTGCTGAATTACTTGTGTCACATTTGAAAGCTGCAAAGACTCTCTGTTACAAAATCCAGCAATCTCGAGTTTTATCTGCTCTCACTGCTGATAATTTCCTGTGTATTTGTACAGTAACCACTGTGTGGGAAAGATTATGGGCCACACACCTGTGCAGTGCATGTGTCAGGATTAAAATGCATCTTTCTGGCAAGCAGAATTAAAAATATCAATTGAATATATTTTCATGTTTACAGAATATTAATTCTTTTATTTCACAGGAAGATTCAGASCACTTTTGTTTTTTCTAAATCTGAAAATAGGTATTCAATAAGCAAAATAATAGGAAAAATAACAGCAGGAAAATTGAATGAGAAAGCAAAATCTCATCACACAAAGATTTATAGATTAGTTTAATCCCATTAAAGTTGCATAAAACTTGGTAACTGTGTGTGTGGCTATTGTCCTCTTGTGGGAAGGTGCAAGGAGTATAWGACTGCACAGTATTAATTTGGGACTCAACTTTGATGTTTCATCACAAACAAACCGAAATTCCCAACCCACACACAAGAACGTAAACACAATTAAAAAAACAAATCCCACAAAYAAGGAGAGAGAGTCATCCCAGGAATTTATGATTAAATGGCCTGGAATCTCCCTTTTGTGGAAAGCAGAGCGATGGAAGCACGTGTGCATGAGGACACAGGCCATTCTGGTGAATCCAAGGCCCTAAATGCATTGTTTGGATTCATTCTGCCAGATTCTATAACATTTTTTTTGTTGCTTTTGCAGTATTTTTTATGTTTGCTGCAAATTATTGCTACCTGTGCATTGCATGCTGTATTTTATAGGAAGTAGTCAGTCCCAGTGTTTGGAATTTATAAATGGGACCAAACAGGCTATTAAGAAATACAGTGCAAGAATCTTGTGTTAGCAATGATTTAAGACTATTTTACAGCATCTTTCCTTGTGGTGTTTTATTAACAGTGGGCAGTTATTAATGATGTTGGAGTACTTTATTTGATGGCTCTGTAGAATGTTTTCATTAGATGTAAACAGATTGATTCTCTGCTTCTAGAAAAGTGCCTGTTGGCAGATATAAGGAGGGCATCTGTTTTTTCTTAGGAGGGRAAAAACCCATCTGGCTTTTTGCAGTGGAGCAGATATGATAATATAAAGTTTAAAAAATTACATGAAGCAAATGACTTTCTGGGTTTGCTGTTGTGAATAATCTTGATGCATATTCCTTAATTTTTAAATTATATTGTTGAAATCCTGCAGCTGCTTTGTAACCAACTCAGATTTCTTTTATCATAATGCTTCTGTTGCAGCATTTTCAATGACAGTTCAGAAATACATCACCTACCAAGACAAATACTGCTGCAATAGATAAAATAATATTTCATTAGGTCAATTTCAGGTCCCACTGAATTATTATTATTATTATTATTATTATTTTACAGGACTGGACTTGATCTTTATGGTGCTTAGCCCAAAAGCCTAATTCCCCTTTCCTATTAATTTCTTGAAGAAAAGAGATAAGGTACAACCACATTTCCAGCAATTATTTCTGTAAAGCAAGTGTAGTGCTCAATTTACTTTATAGCCTATAATTGTGACACTATTCTCTTAGTTAAAACTGATAGCAGATCCTAAGTAGACTTGATYCAATTCAATAATATTATCTATACAG